TGGATAGTTTTATTAACTCATAAGTATGTGATGAAATAAAAATCCTTATTTCAAAATAGATATGATTATTATTTAATTTGTTATAATGATATAATGAGGTTTCCATAAACAATATCATTATAAAGAGGGCCTCTGATTATACAGATAAACTCGTTATATATTAATGACTGCAAAGGCAAGTTTGAGGCAAATTTGGTCTGCTATTCATAAAGCAAATACAGATAAAAGGTCAAATCCGAGGTTACCATCGGCCTGTTCGGGCCGTTTAACGACATCTTTGACAAAAACCATGCGGAAGCCGGAAAGCTTTTAAAGAAGTCGTCAACGTCGCGTGCTTCCGGATTACGGCGAAACTTCAGATGTTTCGCATGATTTTTGAAGGTCATTCTGCGGAAGATAATTCTCATCGTCATTATTATAGCGCGTCATATGCACGTGATTTATAATGGTCGATAATCACGTTTCGAAGATTTTACCCCGTGCCGGCGTCTCACACAACTAATGTATGATCATCGTCGTTGGCTTGATAATGAGTTTTTTCTACTTTATTAGGGAACCTTTGAGAACATTTGCATCAAGAAATAAGATTGTCAACATCCCCCACACGTTTGTGTTGGCCATTTAGGCGGCGGACGTTGCTGGAAGGAGACCATCACTTAATTGATTGGTCGACAGAGGTGCACGTGCGGACGACCCTGCGTGCCAGCATATCTGCTTGCCATTTAGACGGTGGAGTGCTGGAGTATTTCACATAGTTTCTTTTTACGCGCACGTAAAGTCCTTGTTACAATGTTACTAAATCTGCGTTTCATTCCCGCTCATGCGACATTCAGTTTGTTGGCGGTTATTAATATGTGGAAGGAAGCATGCAATGATCACAACTGCGTGTGAGCTCTTCTTGATCATGAGCACCAGAGCAAAAGCGCGAAAGCTCCTGCAACTTTGTGCAGAAAGTTCTACAAATAAAAATGCAATTGGCATTCACGTTTGCGCACGCAGAGTTTTGTCAAAGATGAATATAACGAACCATTTTATTAAATAAGGATTTTGGATAATGTCAATGTTTTGCTCGCAATTAGAAGGAACCATGTACAGTCTTTTTTCTGCAATTTGAGTATATGTTGCAGCAAGTGTTATTGTTTGGAAGTGTGAATTCATTTGCTTTTATACACGAATGCTAGTAATACGTCTAAATGTTACTAAAATTTAGTTCATTTCTTTGTGTATGAGCCACAGTTGTAAATCGAGCAAAGCCTCACCAAAATTTTATTAGTCAAACCTCGTTATACCGAAGTTTGGTATAACGAGATATTCGGTATAGCGAAGTACCTCTATTAACGAAGTTTTATGTGAATATAATGACTGAACAATATGACGACATTAACATAATATCGACGATCAAAAACTAAGTTACTAACGCTATATGACCAAAAATCGTCAGCCAATCACTATTCTAAATTTTTATCACGCGATAAAACAGAGATTAGTAGCATATGTGAAAATCCTGCATCGAACTTCGGTAACGGTATAAAGAGATTTACTATTAAATTCGTTATAATGAGGGATTTAGAAAACGGGGGAGCCAGAATTCCTTCGGTATAACGAAAATTCGGTATAACGAGGTTTGACTGTAGCTAAATTAGTTCATTTTCCAGCCACACCAGCCCTTTTAGCTCACATGATCAAATGTTCACTTTGTCTGGTTTTGTTGCAGTCTGCCCCCCATATTAAAATTACTTTCTAGTACAATTTAGTGCAAAACCTCATAACGGTTAAACGTCACCAAATTTATATTTACAATGGGTTTCCCTAATCTTAATCTGTGAACTGATTGTTACCAAAGAACAAATCGATCACGCCATTCCACATCCAAGATTTCTTTAGACCGTGAAGTCCAATGGTCTGCGGCGCGGCATAGTCTTTATGTAACCACTTATGTCGTTTGGCGGTGCTGCGTGGATCTTGGTACAACAAACACTCTTCATTAATCCATGATGTCTGTGTGAGAGAGTGAATGAGACGAAGAGAAAGAGAAAAAGATACAAATGGATTAATACAATGATTAGAAGG